GCGTATTCGGGCGCAGGGAGTCGAACCCCGGTCTACAAGCTTTAGGCCATTAGCCTAATCCATCTTGAATCATACCACTAACCGAACCTACCCACATCGCCCATGATCGGGTGTGGTGTTCAGTACACCGCGAGCCTGCTTGGCTTTCTTGCTTTACGAAGCTTGCCGAACGGGGTTCAATTCCCCGCGCCCGAATGCCAGAAGTGGGCGGGATAATATCTTTCCTTCTCTTCCGGGTTTCAGAGCCTAGCAGAGGTTTTATTCTTATCCACAGTTGCTTGCCGAGATTTTCAATGGATCGATGAGCGTCCAGGGCGGTGAAGCTTCAACCGTGGGAACAGTCGATCAACTCAACACAGTTAGATGCTAACGGCAGTCCAGAGGTGAATGCAGTTGAATTCATGACGGTGGTTCTTGTCATCGAGTATAAGCCTACGATTCCATTACTATTGCCTCAATATCGGTACACACACATTCCACGCAAAGTTGGATACTTTGTCGCAGGATCTTGTGTGTTTCAACCCATATCAGGGCAAACCGAGTGTGTTCGTTATCTTCAAAGACAAGCCTTCGCTCGTTGTTTTGTGGAAAGTCGAATTTGAAGAGACAAATGTAATTTCGCTACGTTCCATGGTGGTGCGGCGAGCAGTACTCGGTGGCGAGGAGAGGACGGTGCTCGCGTGGGTCGCAGTATTCGTCCAAGTCTAGAATAGATCTCGGACCGCAGGCAGCGAGCGTCATACCTTCTTCTTCTTCGGTCTACCCTGCCCACTGCATTTACTCTCCTCCCCAGGTCCGCAAAGTGAAACTCTCCCCGCTCGGGTACCGTGTGTCGCGTCGCGTTACGCGCGCGCGGAGTATCTACCACACAGCCAGTACACAGATATGTGCTGCGTCGTGAGGAATACATATTTACCTCCGGAATACCTACTTGCTCCTGACCACCACCATCGATTGGGACCCGTCCACTGGGAAACCTATATCACTGCAGACATACCTCAGGAGTTCTTCGCTGGCAACCTTTACCCACCTAGGGACTTGCCAACACAAACTGGGGTCATTTTCGTCGTCGTCGCTCAGCCCCTATAATTGGATTCGATTTCCGACTCGAAGGGCTGCGTTCACCAATACTGTGACCGCAGAATATGACCACGGAATATCGGGCGAAGGGCAAACAGCTGTCCGCGGACCCCAAAATCTTATCGCGCGAACACCGAGGACGGTTTTCCCTCGAGAACGGTTACACTGACAGCGCCGACTGCGGTGGCCGACAGGTTCATGACCTGAATGTGCACAACTTGTTGGCACCAGGGATGAATACTGTACGGTCCTCCCCACTTATGGTGTCGCTGCCCTCGGGCCATTTCAGACCGCTAGGAGGATGTCTCACTGAGCATTGCTCCTCAACCCGCAACCAATCACTCCTCTTGCCTCCAAAGCCTCGAAGAATATCCTCTGGTGTTTTATTCCCTTTGTACTATGCTCGACTCGTGAGAAGAATACCCTTATGTATCTCTACCCGTATCGTTTCGACTAGTACTTAGCTGTAGCATGCATGTAGAGGCGCATGTGTGTAGGTACAGCACCCGCATTGTTCCTCAATGGGACCGCCCGCGGTTAATACATCCTCCTCCTCCTCCTCCGTAGCAGCAACGACACCGTCCAACGCTTCGCGTGCGTCCACTTGCGCCACAGTGTCCGCCCCGCACCCACTTCGTCCTCGACATCACTCCCGCTCGAGCCAGCGCCGCGCATCGTGCCCTCCCCTCCTGGTCCGGTCCCGAACGCTAAGCACCGGCAAGAAGACGCACACGCCGCTTATCAGCATAATGCACTCTCGACGACGAACGATATGACACGTACACTTTCGAACATTCCGCTCACGCGACATTCACTTGCGCGTCAGGCAAGCACACCCATTGGCGGAATCGTTGTGGTGCAGTGCATCGGAGAGACGCACTCGAGCCCCCCTTCGCCGCGCGGCCTTTGCTTGTCGGCGTACGTCGCGGGAGGCGGCGAGGCGGAACTGCACGAACACCGAAGTCGGAATACGGGGCGCAGGCCGTGTTGAAGGATGCGATTATAAGAGCGAGCGGCGATGGTGACGGGCAGACGCGATGAGAGCGCGCGAAGAGCAGGATATGAGCGCTGTGTCGAGGGGTGGAACGATTCGCCGAGGCGGTGACAATAGCGTCCGCGTCTGAGGTGCGCGAACGTGAAATTCGGAATTGGGTTGTGCGCAGGAAGCAAGGGACTCGGAATTGGCTCCGCGTCGAAGGATAAGATGTTAAAGGCCGGCAGCGGGGTGGGTGATGATGGGGAGAGTGCGGAAAGGGAAGACGACGGGCGATGGCGCTGGGAGAAACGGGAGAAATAGCGTCGTCAAGAACGCATTCGGATGCTGCTGCAGCGGAAGTTTGAGCCGCTGGGGCGCAGGTGGAGGGTCGAAGTATCAGCAATAAGGACGCCGGGGATGCGCGTCGGTTGTCGGTTGTCGTCTGGGCCTACGTGCGCGCACAAAGCGTTGTGTCAAATTTGCGGAGTGGTGCACAACGTAAGAGCGCGGCGGTGAGGAGCGGAGAGATGGATGCAAGTAAGGGCGATCGAAGTACACACAGTGAGCAGGTGCGCGTCGTCGAGATCCACAATGTTAGCCAGGCTGTCGTAGTCGGATGATACACACACCAACGTCTTTCGACGCGGTACACAAAATTTGAGACGCTGTTGGCGGCTCGTCAGGCTGGAAGAGCTAAGCGGGAATGTAGGACGGGGCGTACCTGTGGTGTAGGCGAGAGCGGTGATGATGGAGCTGCGAATGCAAACAGTTCGTCTTGCGCTGCTTTGGATGCATTCATCCAGACTATCCAAATCATGTAGAGATGAGTAAAGAGGGACAAGACTCGGGGATTCGAGCGCTTGGAAGGAACGTTCGGAAGGAAGGAGCGCGAGGAGAAGAACGGGTTCCCAGATGGCGGGAATGTAGTGCGCTCCCGCACGCGCCACCGGGTTCATGCGCACACCACACACGACGGGCGACATTCCAGGGACTCGGAGACACGACGGCAGAGGCAGCCGAGAAACCAGACCGTAGATGGGCACGCATCGGCGCGCAGGTCTGGCGAACAGAAGCCTAGAGATGCACGCACCAGAACCCGAGATATGCCAAGAGGGGATTGGAAGGCATTCAGACGGCGACCTTCACCACACATCGCCAGCATTGTTGAATTTCGAAAGGACCGCGCTCAAAAATTGCGAGGTGTACATGTTGGTTGGAGGAAGGAAGCGCCTTGAAGGCGGTGTTGATGCGTTATCAACGGAGCGGCCCTCCGGCCCGGCCACTCCTCTTTTGACCTCCACCGTGCAACCACCGTCGATGGCTTGATCACACTGCGGCTGGCGCGTTGTTATACCGCTTATACGGAGCTCACACAACACGGATGGCAGGTACCGGAAGAATCTGACCCAGCTCAAGGTTGGAATCTCGAGACTCGAAGAGGGAACAGGAAATTATCGCAAATTCGCAAATTAAAATTTCCTCAATTCCTCGTTCTAACGTACCCACTGTTCAACCTCCCCCAGTCATCAGGTGTGGTGTACGGCGCACCGCGAGGACCTCTGCAGAAGTGGGGGTTTTGCGTCCGCTGGACGGGGTTCGACTCCCCGCACCTGAATAGCCTCACGCAATCCTTGCAAGTTTTTTCCAGACTGGGCCTTTTTTAGAATCCACTGGCATCTCGGGGCTCCATGTTCGAGTTACCCTACTTAAAGTTCTATCCAATCCAGACAGAGCTCGCCCAATGTCATTGCTGCTTCAAACCTTCGAGACAGCTGGAGATTCACTAACTACTCGACAAGATTCCTCTCCTCAGATAGAGCTTCGCAGGAGGGCCGCTGCTACTAGTGTACACCATTCCTTCCGCGCCAAACCACCCCGCTAATCCAACGTACCAACAAACCGAATAATCGGGTGTGGTGTACGGAACGCCACGAGTATTGATTGCCTGGAATATATCCCCCTGAAGCTCACACAACGGGGTTCGACTCCCCGCACCCGAATGATTAAATTTGGAACCAAGACACCTTTTAATTTTTTATTCGCTCCTTCCTTCATCCGTTTAGTTAGTGGTTCTGAATTGTCTCGCAGATTCAACACTTCCTCAAGTTAGTACGGCCTTCCAATTGAACCCATCGCCAGAACTTCAAATTAACTGTCTCTCGGGTGGTACCGTGGATTGACCCCACGCGCAAGAGAACACCGGCCCGGGGTGGGTTCCGCGCATTGAACCTCGCCAGGTTTTGCAATTGACGAATCAATTGAAGTGTGTCTTCCTTTTCTTCTTTTTCTTGAACGACCCGGCTTGCAATTGTCCTCGCGAAACTCCCCGGCTAATCCGCCACGCCAACAGAGCCAATAATTGGGTGTTGTGTACGGTACGCCGCGAGTATTAATAATGCCGGTCTATCTAAATCCTGAAGCTCGCAGAAGGGGTTCGACTCCCCGTGCCCGAATGTGGTTGGAAGTTGTGCGATTTATTTTCCTCCGTGCTTTCCTTTACGCATACATGCCACTCACTTATCCCATTCGTTCCTAGCTACGCGCTCGCCGACACTCGCGCAACCCGCAACCTATACCTGTAAATTCGGCGCGGTAAGTAATACTAATTGTTGGTTCGCAAGCCAAGTACGATCTAAGAAATGCAATCGGGTGTCGTGTAAGGCACACCGTGGGCTTTCCTAAGCAACCACTGAGCACGCATGAAACCCGCTGCACGGGGTTCGACCCCCCGCGCCCGAATGGGTTCAAGATCCAGTGTTTTTTTTCTTTCTTCCGGGCTTCAGAGTCAAGGTCAATCTTTTCTCCCTCATCTAGATTCCGCAATGCTTTACTTCGCTTCCTTTTATTCAGTTCACTAACCAACCTCACAAAGACGAAATCAACCAGCTGGCATTTTCTCGTCTAAAATGATGCACTCAATCCGGTCTACCCACAGCACAATTAATCGGGTGTGGTGTATGGAGCACGACGAGGCTTCTTAGTGCTTCTAGTTTACCCAATTGAAGCTCGCAGGACGGGGTTCAACTCCCCGCGCCCGAATTCAACTCCGCCAGGGCCGTTTTTCTTTTTCACTTGCCTCCTTACTGAGGCCAGGGGGAGCGGTGCCAATTCTTACTTCCAACCCCGAGCGACGTAAGCGTCTTGATCCGATCCCGTCTTTCGCAATGAATGCCTCCAAATTTTAAACTGGAATGGAGCCTGGAACAAGCATCAGTTGATGATTTTCTTCGATTTGCTGCTCGGTTCAGCGAGAATAGCGCTCATAGTTGACGCAGGATCTGAGCTTGCCCAACTTCCCAACTCAAACGGGCTCACCTGGCTTTTTGTGCGGATCTCTCGCGTAAAGTCGCGGGGTCCAAATCAGCACGCCCCCACTGCGTTCATAATCGGCTGTGGTGCCTTACAGTTTCAATCAGTCTTTCGCCCAGTATTTCCAGTGCGATTATTTTTTTCAAACTAGTGGTTTTCTGATTTTTAAGGGCAGGGTCAGAGTCACTCGGGGTTGATCGATTCAATAGGCCCGGATCAATCCACCTACGTCTTAATGTTTATTTCTCACCTGCCTTGCACTGCCAGCTATAACCCGGCCCTCCTGCGTAGAGATGCAAGCGAAACCACTCGCCTAACCCAACACACCAAAGATCCCCAGTAATTGGGCGTAGTGTACGGAGCACGACGAGTATTCATAAGGAAGGCGTCGCGGTTGAGGCTCGCAAGACGGGGTTCGACTCCCCGCGCCCGAATACATAAGATACCCGGTCAGCGCTGGATTTTTTTTATTCCGATAATCCTGCGTCGTACACACCTGATTTCCAGTTTCTCCGCCAGGGGGTTGGAGCCTCAACCAACCGTGAAACAAATGAAGCGCTTCAATTTTTCCGACCTCGGTTGACCCAAATATACCCTTTATTTAGCCTCGAAACCTCGACGCCTGTCTGAACCGCAGAATCAACCAGCATTGTTCTCAATCTCATTAAAATCCAACGTGCATAATTGCTAACGGGAATTTGTGGGTAAATTGATGAGCGTTCACGACGTTGAACCGTGAGAATAGTTGATCAATTCCAGAGTCGGACTCATTAAAACCGAACGTGCCGAGCACCAAAACTCTGGGCAATTAGAAGCCTTTCCCGACAAAATTTGGCCCTCGGAATGACCGACTTTTTCAGTGTCAGTGCGGCGGCGGTGCCGCGGAAACTTGCGGAAACGGTCATGTGATGAAACGCGCCTTGTTATAGTAAACGACGGCCAACCAAACAGATGTGCTCAAAGGGTTGCTGTAAATTCCGTCTGCTTTTGTTCATTACAGCCGCAATCTTCGGGCTCACAAGGTCGAAAGAATATTATTTGTAAAGGCTAAATGATAAATTTGTAGCGACAGTGGTTTACTTGCAATTCTGATCAAATTTGACGCAAATCAAGTTACAAACACACCCATGGTCTGACTCAACCAAGCGTCGTAGTCGGCCTCGTTGTCGGGGTCACCAGTGACGCGGAGAGCCCGGATCAAGACCTTGTAGCTCCCGTTCGGAATCACGGTCCCATTGGCGAAGGTGTTGGTCATATTGAGACCAGACACAAAGTTAAGGTCCTACAGTGATGTCAGAGTGAGGGTTCGTTAAAGTTGATACCATACTGAACACTCACCAGAGACTCGTCATTACGCGGCGCGTAGTCGTGTTCCAAGATAGGCCCAACAACGTTTATATTGGAGAAGGTTCCGCCGCTTTCGCCCTGCGGGAAGGTGAAAGTCGGGACGACGTCCCTGCCATTGACTGTCCCAGGCACGGCCGTGTCAGCGGTTACTAGATCTACACGGAGCAGGGCCGTCCCGAATGCCAGCCGCCAAAGTAAGAAGGGTTCATCACCATTCACAAAGGTGTAATTCGCAGTCGCGTTAGTTCCGGAGGGATCCTCCAAAAGAGGTAGTTGAACACCCAGCGCCTTTGTAGACGTATCGAGGACCGCTTTATCTCTGATGGACGCCGCAAGACCCATGTACGACGCATGAACGTCCTCCCCGTCGCTAACAATATGAATGAACCCGGAATAGACCGGGAATGTCGTCGCGTCTACTTTCGGCGGCGTGAAAGTTGCGACAACGTCGTGAGTTTGTCCAGGGTTGAGAGTAAATGTCTCTTCATCAAAGGAGACACTGGCATAGTCGGTGGAGAGTGGGATAGGCCCCGACGCTGGTAGGATCGAGCCCTGGAGGGAAGATGTCAGAAAGTGAGGTACGAGGAACCGGAAAGAGGACTCGCGGCGGGGACAGTAACGGCGGTTCCCACTGGACTATGTTTCAACACGTAAGTCTTGGGCGATTTTCCAGTGTTCGTAACGGCGATTTTCTGACTGGGATTCACTGAGCTGTGATTTGCGTGCAGGGCAGGGTGGAACTCACGTTCCTACGAAGTGTGCGGTATCGTTAAGAAGCAGTTCAGCAGGCGATATGATGGTCGTCGCAAAAAGTGCGTCGTAGACTTGGACGAGGCCAGCACCCTGTTGGATGGCCGTTTGCACGAGTGCGCCATCAGTGTGGTCTGAGGCCAGCGGCTTGGCCGTTGACTGGAAAACGCTGCGAGCAGTCGCAGCCACTTCCGCGGACTTGCCCTTGACGCTCAACAGAAGTGCTGCACTCCCGGCCATGAATGGTGTCGCCATGGATGTCTAATCAAGGTGAATGTCGGAATCCTGGAGAGGAAGCTGGAAACGTACACCACTTAACAGAGCCCAGCCACCGAGTGGGACGGGCCAGGTGGATAAAATGTGGCCCCCTGGTGCCGTTATCGCCGGTTTGAAGAATAAATCTTCTGTCGGTCCATAGGACGTGAACGCCGATACGAGACCGCCCTTGGGATCGGGGAATTGCACTAAAGCCCCCTCCTGGGGGAACGTCACATTGACGGCGGTGCCTGCGGCCAGCTGCTGAACAAGCTATACTTTGCCATTAATTATCTTTTACTTGGTGAGAGAAACATCACGCACAAAGATACCATCCGAGGCTTGAATCAAAGCGGCCGTGAAGTTTCCAACCTGGGGTTTACTCATGCGTTGGGTTGTCGGAACATAACAAAACCGTCCTTACAGAAATTGCGGCGGTGAAGCCAGTTCCATCGCTGCATGGCTTTAGCAATATGGTCATGATTAAAAGTTCACGAATACTGACTCGTATATGAGAGCAACAGATGCGTTGAAAGCCGCAAGATGGGCCAACTGAACCGTCTGAAGAACGTGTGAGGGGTGAGTTTGAAAGAGAGCCCGCGATTCTTACCACTGCACAGGTTGCCCGCCGAACCAGGACAACGAACGTAGACAGGTCGGGGGTTGACGCGGGGAGGGGGCTGCACGCATCATCGGTGACCGTAGTGTTTTTCGAGGTAGCGTAGAGGGGGAGACTCCCGTTAACAGGGAGCGGGACAGACTACACCGTCAGTCCAACTCCGGATCGGAAAGAACATACATACTGAAAAGTACACGATCGGGGCATGCGTGGAACCCTGAAGAGTTAAGCTCTGGAGTGGGATAATAGGGCTGTCAGACGAGGCAACTGATATCGCATCGATGGCATTTCCGGGATTGGACGAATACCAAGGGCCTGCATCCCCCTGCCGAAGTGTAGTCAGTTTGAAGCCGCGAAGGGTTCTCGAATAAAAGAAATCATACGGAATTTCCAGCAGCGATTGTAACAATTTTGCCTGATGCCGCAATTCTGCTGGCTACCACCGCGGCTGTGCCTTCGGTCTGTCAAAGAGTGAGCCAAACGCGAGCGTGGCGGTAGGGATTTCTTACCCAGCCGCCGAGACCACCCAGGGACAGCGTGAGGATATCCATATCAGCATCCGCCGCCTTGAGCAACCCGGCGACAATAACTGCACGCATGATTAGAGAGCGTTCATAGCGGCAATCGGGTGGCCTACCATCCTCTGCAGAGCCCCCAAGACAGCCGAAGATCCTAAACGCGTAGATTTCGGCATCGTAAGCTACCCCGCTAACGTTGAATGGGTTATTTGGATTGCATCCAATGATTCCCTATGGGACAACGTCAGGTAGATATCGTGAATGGTCTTGATGAGTACTTGCAGCAACATGGGTTCCTATTCAATTGTCAGTCAGGTCTACATCGAACGAGAAACAACAATAGTCACCGTGTCTAGCGACGGAAAAAATTAGACTCAAGAGCGCACCCAGCATTCTAAAAGGCAGAGCGACCACTCACCCTGCACACTGATCCAAAGGGTCCGCGTCTGGGACCGGCGTATTGGCACCAGTGTAAGCATCACCAACTAAATCATAACCCCCAGCGACTTTGAACCCTGGACCGAAACCCGCCCCTAGATACTTATGGGTGTAGTCCACACCAGTATCAATACTGCGGTGAATCAGCCTTCGTTCCGCTGATGCAACGAACTACTTGCATCCCGATTTTGACGCCGTGCCGGTGATCCCTTGCGCGTGTAACCTGTCGACGCCCTGGGACGACGCGCGATTAGATATATAAGTCGATAAGAGAAGGAAAACTGTCGTTTACAGTTATAATATGCGTCCCCTCGGAATCGGGCAATCCGGAATCGCCCTCCGAGACATTTTTGAAGTCGAAAGGCCTGGGGAAATGAGAAGTCGACGCGAACAACCCATCAAACAAACTTACGATGGGCGGTCAAAGAGCTTCACGGGGCGGATGGCAACTACGCCGGCCGTGCTGCGTAAGCTGGAAACGTCCTGAGACAATGTTAATGGCCGAAATAGTATGACGTCGGGGCGAAAAATACTTGAGCGTTCTGAGAAATTGAAACATCAGTACAATCAAGAGCGATGCGGAAGTGTCCTACGTTCAAAGTCAAGGACACTCCGACAAACAGGCCGGGTGAATTGTACTCGTGATGAATATCGAAACTAATTTGGCGCTGCCGGAGGGATGCGTATATATCTTCGGGCTGGGGGGAGATGTAAGCCGATATATGAGATGAATTCTGCGGACTTGCAGTGCTGGTTGACCTCCGGGTTTGTGGAAGGTCAGCCGGAGATTGAAATTCCACAAT